CTGCTTGGCTCTTCTCTCTCCATACTCCTCACTCAGTACTCCTCGCTCCCTGCTCCCTGCTTACTCCCTGTTGTATGTGTTCCTTACTCCACACTGCTGGCACCTCACTGCTTGGATCCACACTCCTCACTCCCTGCTCCCTGCTTACTCCCTGTTGTACGTATTCCTTACTCCACACTGCTGGCACCTCGCTGCTTGGATCCACACTCCTCGCTCCCTGCTCGCTGCTTACTCCGTGCTCCATGTTGTACGTGTTCCTTACTCCACACTGCTGGCACCTCGCTGCTTGGCTCCTCACTCCTCGCTCCCTACTCCCTGCTTACTCCCTGTTGTACTTATTCCTTACTCTGCACTGCCAGCGCCTCGCTGCTTGGCTCCTCACTCCTCGCTCAGTACTCCTCGCTCAGCACTCCTCGCTCCCTGCTCCCTGCTTACTCCGTGTTGTAGTGTTCCTTACTCCACACTGCTGGCGCCTCACTGCTTGGCTCTTCTCTCTCCGTACTCCTCACTCAGTACTCATTGCTCCACACTCCTCACTCAGTACTCGTTGCTCCACGGTCCTCACTCAGTACTCATTGCTCCACACTCCTCACTCAGTACTCATTGCTCCACACTCCTCACTCAGTACTCATTGCTCCATGGTCCTCACTCAGTACTCCTCACCGCGCTGGCCCTGCACTACTCGCACCCTACTCACTCCTTACTCCTGGTCCCCAGGGGTTCCTGAACCTGCGCTGGTCCCGCACTACTCCCACCTTACTCCCACCCTACTCCCACCTTACTCGCTCCCTACTCACTCATTCCTCCTGTGCAGGGCTTCCTGAACCTGAGCTGGTCCCGCACTACTCCCACCCTACTCCCACCTTACTCCCCACTTATTCCCACCCTACTCCCACCCTACTCCCCCCTTACTCACCCGTTGCTCCTGCGCAGGGCTTCCTGCAGCTGTGCTGGTCCCACCCTACTCCGACCCTACTCCCACCTTACTCCCCCCTTACTCCCACCCTACTCCCACCCTACTCCCACCTTACTCCCCCCTTACTCCCACCCTACTCCCACCCTACTCCCACCTTACTCCCCCCCTCTCACCCGTTGCTCCCACAGGGCTTCCTGCAGCTGCGCTGGTCGCGCACTACTCCCACCTTACTCCCCCCCTACTCACCCGTTGCTCCCACAGGGCTTCCTGCAGCTGCGCTGGTCGCGCTTCGCGCGGGTGCTGCTGACGCGCTCCATCGCCGTCACGCCCACGCTCTTCGTGGCCATCTTCCAGGACGTGGAGCACCTGACGGGCATGAACGACTTCCTCAACGTGCTCATGAGCCTGCAGGTGAGCGGGGCGGGCGCAGGTGAGGGGACATGGGCTCAGGTGAGCCTGCAGGTGAGGGGACATGGGCTCAGGTGAGGGGACATGGGCTCAGGTGAGCAGGGTGGGTGCAGGTGAGGGGAGATGGGCTCAGGTGAGCCTGCAGGTGAGCGGGGCGGGGCTCGGCTCATGAGCCTGCAGGTGAGGGGACATGGGTGCAGGTGAGCGGGGCGGGCGCAGGTGAGGGGAGATGGGGCTCATGAGCCTGCAGGTGAGGGGACATGGGCTCAGGTGAGGGGACATGGGCTCAGGTGAGGGGACATGGGCTCAGGTGAGCCTGCAGGTGAGGGGAGATGGGTGCAGGTGAGGGGAGATGGGCTCAGGTGAGCGGGGCGGGCGCAGGTGAGGGGAGATGGGTGCAGGTGAGCAGGGTGGGTGCAGGTGAGCCTGCAGGTGAGGGGAGATGGGTGCAGGTGAGGGGACATGGGCTCAGGTGAGCCTGCAGGTGAGGGGACATGGGGCTCATGAGCCTGCAGGTGAGGGGAGACGGGCTCAGGTGAGCGGGGCGGGCGCAGGTGAGCCTGCAGGTGAGGGGAGATGGGCTCAGGTGAGGGGACATGGGTGCAGGTGAGGGGAGATGGGCTCAGGTGAGGGGAGATGGGTGCAGGTGAGCGGGGCGGGCGCAGGTGAGTGGGGTGGGCACAGGTGAGCGGGGCGGGCGCAGGTGAGCCTGCAGGTGAGGGGAGATGGGCTCAGGTGAGCGGGGCTCATGAGCCTGCAGGTGAGCGGGGCGGGGCTCATGAGCCTGCCGGTGAGGGGTGCGGGCTCAGGTGAGCAGGGATGGGTCCAGGTGAGCGGGGCCAGGTCCAGGTGCTCCAGGTGAGCAGAGCCGGGTCCAGGTGAGCAGGGCTGGGTCCAGGTGAGCAGAGCTGGGTTCAGGAGCTCCAGGTGAGCAGAGCCGGGTCCAGGTGCTCCAGGTGAGCAGGGCTGGGTTCAGGTGAAAAGAGCCAGGTCCAGGTGAGCGGGGCAGGGTTCAGGTGAGCAGAGCTGGGTTCAGGAGCTCCAGGTGAGCAGGGCCGGGTCCAGGTGAGCAGGGCTGGGTCCAGGTGAGCAGGGCTGGGTCCAGGTGAGCAGAGCCGGGTTCAGGTGAGCAGGGCTGGGTTCAGGAGCTCCAGGTGAGCAGGGTGGGTCCAGGTGAGCAGAGCTGGGTCCAGGTGAGCAGGGCTGGGTCCAGGAGCTCCAGGTGAGCAGAGCCGGGTCCAGGTGAGCGGGCCGGGTCCAGGTGAGCAGGGCTGGGTTCAGGTGAGCAGAGCTGGGTCCAGGAGCTCCAGGTGAGCGGGGCGGGTCCAGGTGAGCGGGGTGGGGTCCAGGTGAGCAGAGCCAGGTCCAGGTGAGCGGGGCCGGGTCCAGGTGAGCAGAGCTGGGTCCAGGTGAGCGGGGCCGGGTCCAGGTGACCGGGCCGGGTCCAGGTGACCGGGCCGGGTCCAGGTGAGCAGAGCTGGGTCCAGGAGCTCCAGGTGAGCGGGGCGGGTCCAGGTGAGCAGAGCCGGGTCCAGGTGAGCAGGGCTGGGTTCAGGAGCTCCAGGTGAGCAGAGCCGGGTCCAGGTGCGCGGGCCGGGTCCAGGAGCTCCAGGTGAGCAGAGCCGGGTCCAAGTGAGCAGAGCTGGGTTCAGGAGCTCCAGGTGACCGGGCGGGGTCCAGGTGAGCGGGGTGGGGTCCAGGTGAGCAGAGCCAGGTCCAGGTGAGCGGGGCCGGGTCCAGGTGAGCAGGGCCGCGTCCAGGTGAGCGGGGTGGGGTCCAGGTGCGCGGGGCCGGTCCAGGTGAGCAGAGCCAGGTCCAGGTGACCGGGCCGGGTCCAGGTGCGCGGCCGGAGCCGCTCCCCTCTCCAGGCTCCGTTCTCTCTCCGGTCGCAGCTCCCGTTCGCGCTGATCCCGGTGCTCACCTTCACCAGCCTGCCCAGCGTCATGAGCGACTTCGCCAACGGCCTGTGAGTACCGCGGCACCTGGGCACACCTGGGCACACCTGGGCACAGCTACAGCTCACCTGGGCACA